TGCCCAAGGTGGTGAGGTTTGAATGGAAGAAAGAGATTCTGTGGAGAGGTGTCTTTTATATACATAACGAGTTGTTGTTAGGAGCACCTTCTTAAATTGACAGGACTATTCTGTGTACCACATAGCCAGTCTGTGGGAGCCAGAATTATTGTTGGTTGGTAGGGGATCAAATACTTATTTTACTCACTGAACTGCAACTCAATGTATAACATTTGTATCATGTGTTTTTTCTGGACTTTTGGTTGATATTCTGTCTCTATTATTTAAAAAATGCACCTATGATAAAAATGATAGACCCTTTCATTTATTTGTAAGTGGGCAAACCTACAAAATCTGCAGGGGATCAAATAATTATTTTCCTCACTGTATATGTAACAGTCAACATATATCTGTAATATTATAATTATCAAGCCATACATACCAATCAGCCATAACATTACGCCCACTTGCCTAATATTGATTAGGTTTTGTCGCCAAAACAGCCCTGACCTGTTGAGGCATAGACTCCACTAGACTTCTGAAGGTATGCTGTGATATCTGGCACCAAACTGTCAGCAGCAGATCCTTTAAGTCCTGTAAGTTGAGAGGTGGGGCCCCCATGGATCAGACTTGTTCCCATAGTGCATCCTGGTCACTATTTCTCAGGTAAGCAACACACACGCACCTTAGGAAAAGAAACAGGGAGTACAGAAGCGCTACTACCAAGTGGTGACTTGGCAAAACCAAATAAGGGAATTAAACTTACCAAAGAGTGGCTTGAAAAAGACCAGCTCTTCGAAGCGTGTAGCCAGCTTGACATTGTCACTTCATACCTCCTACACCTCCGTTTCTCGCTCCCACCCGCTCTACCCCACAGACACACCGCTCGTTGTTCCGGGCTCCCTGCTCGTGCCCTTGAGCGGTGTAGTCTTACCCCTCCCACCGGCTTCCCTGGCCTCAGCGTCCATCTCCAGCCTAACCCTAATCACCGGCTTCCCCCGAACACTCGCCGCTCGTCAGCACTCGGCGCTCGTCAGCGAGCGATACAGGCTCCGCCCCTTATCCACACAGCGTTCAGACTCACACTAACTGGCCTTATCCAGCGGCCAGCACCTTCCAGACAGGCAGTCCTACACCGCATACGACCCTGGTTACATCTCTCACAGATCTGTAAAACATCCACCAGCCCGGTCCCCACCGTGCCTGCTACTTTCAGCATCCCCCCCAATCCCAGATCCCTGCCACACTTAACATCTGACCCAGGTTCCCACTGACACTGAGCCCTTCTTAGCCCCAACAGCTTTGACACCCCCATCTGCCCATACACAACTTTGAGTGCCCATCACTCTCAGCAGCCGAGGACTCCCATCCATCCAACCCTTGCCGATGATAACGCGCCAGTACCCATTCTTTGGTAAGTTTAATTCCCTTATTTGGTTTCCCAAGTCACCACTTGGTAGTAGTGCTTCTGTACTCCTTGTTTCTTTTCCTAAATAACAAACGTCGGACACCCCGGTCCGCATTTCTAAGGAGCCCCACACCAAGCACTTTAACCCACACTCATACACCCTCACCTTAGTGTTAGCGCTGCATCAGGGGACATTTCTCCCAATTTTTTCGTAACACACACGCACCAGCCATCCACGTTGCAAAAGAAAATGCGATTCATCAGACCAGGCCACATTCGTCCACTGCCCTGAGATCCAGTTATGATGCTCACCTACACAATTGTAGGCACTTATGGTGGTGGACATGGGTCAGCATGGGCACCCTGACCGGTCTGTGGCTACTTAGTCCCAAACACACCAAAATGTGATGCACTTTGTGTTCAGACACCTTTTTTTCGGAACCAGCATTAACTTTATTTTTTAGCAATCTGACGACCTACAGTAGCTCTTCTATTAGATCGGATTACACGGGCCAGCCTTCGCTCGCCACGTGCATCAATGAGCCTTAGCCACCCATGACCCTGTTGCCGGTCCACCGGTTTTCCTTCCTTGGACCAATTTTTGCCTTGACAACTGTAGACCGGGAACATCCCACAAGAGCTGCAGCTTTGAAGTTGCTCTGACCCAGTTGCCTAGCCATTACAATTTGTCCATTGTCAAAAATCGCTCAAATCCTTACATTTTACAATTTTTCTGCTTCCAACACAAACTTCAGGGATAAAATGTTCACTTGCTGCCTAATATATCCCACACACTAATCACTTCACAGCCAAGTGGTCATAATGTTATGGCTTATCAGTGCATACCTACAACACAATAAAGTCAAAATAAAGTAAAAAAAAAAAAAAATATGAGCTGGTGTTCCCAATATGCTTATTAACTTTGCATCCTTTTGTGAACATTCTGTTGGCTATATCACGAACAAAACCTAACACGCACATAAGCTATATTTCACAGAACTGCCAGCAGAGGTCCTTCAGGACTTATTTAATGATCATTATTTTAGAATCTAAAATGCCTCACTGTTAAAAAGTGTAAAGCTGAGGCCGGTAAAACAAGAACCATAATGTGAAGCTTTTAAGGCCTACAGGTATTTTTTTGCGCTGACAATTTATGCAGCACTTTATACAGTACACATTCACATCAGTCCCTCCCGCCCGGCTTCTTGATTGCCCAGGAAGCTGCCTCCATGCTAGTGGAAGTACTGGTATCCGTAATTGGTATCGGCAAGTACCGAAATATAAATATTGGTACTCGATACCGAAAAAATGGTATCAATGCATCCCTACAAAATAGTCTTTGTTGCATTAGTAATTTGTGATTTCGTACATGCTTATCAGAGATATTGATTCAGTTGTTACTACATTTATACTCTAACATTACCCTTTCCTTGGAGAAACAAAATGTAGGCTACACTTGCAGGCCCACATCTGCAAATTCTAGTTATGCTTTAAAATTATACACTAGATCTGGCTCTAGAGTCCTAGAAGAACAATAACAGTCTGTACCCAAAGTCCATGCCATCATAATCCTGTCACAGGAACAATGAATCTATATATATTAATTTACTAACGCTTAACGTAATGTGCATTACCTGGAAAAAAGATATGCTTTAAAGCGGAACTCCAGGCAGAACACCAACTAAAACACTTACATATTCATGAAAAATTAAGCATTTCTAAATTCACCTAATGTATATACCTGCATTGGACTTGGGATCAGCTTCTTCTTTTGCCCTATACAGTAGAACTTACAACGGGAGAGGGAGGGGAAGCATTAAGAGCCAATCAGGAGTGCTGCATGCACATGTACAGACAATAAACATGGTAAAATAAGAGCAGGGAGACGGCATGTCAGTCTGCTGCTGCTCCTTCACTGTCCATTAATAGGTTGGGGGCAGCGGGGTGACCAGGATGTATGGTTTAACTGCAGCTGAGAAAAAGGCCATGCAACAAACTGGTGCTTCCTTATATTAGGTCTGTGTAGATCTCAGGACTGTACAGTAATGCAAATAGATGTGTACAGTCTATAAAAACTCTCTAATGTCAATTGTTCTTAGGATTCAAATACTGGATTATCTAACACTGTTCTAGTCAAGCAGGTAACTAAAACAAACATGTCAAGATAAGAGGCATTAACTAGCATCGACCTGAAATGTAAGTTACCCACCACTAACAAAACTTACCTAGACAAACCAGTTGTAATGGAGATTTTACTGGATCGGGTACATAGAACCCTGGGTCCTCTGCAAACTGACTCCTCTAGGACCAAGGACGTGCTTTGCCACATTCACTTTTACTCCGAGAAAGAGCAGTTCATGTGGCAGGCATAAAAAAATGGCTCCCTGGAAGTTGAGGGCATCCAAATTAGCATATCACACTCATCTAGCCAAACTCTTGGGGTGACGAGGGAGCATAAAGCCGGCTTTCCGACCAATCAGAAAGCCGGGCACGGCGTCATTACACGGCGCCTGGCTTCCTGATTGGCCAGCTTCCGACCAATCAGGAAGCGTGTAATGAAGCGCCGCCCGGCTTCCTGATACCGGAATTATCGGGCTAGGCATCGGAGCATTTGGGCGACTACGAGTACTCGCCCATATACTCGGCATCTGCACTGATACCGATACAAGTATCGGTGCATCCCTACCTATTACAATATGCAAATATGTTGCTCGCTACTGTACTGACAAATCCTGTATTTCTGATCATTTGTACTTGCAGGTCTGCCTTTTTGTATCTCTGCATATAAAAAATAAAATCTTAAGAAGAAAAATTGTTTTATGGATAATTTAAGCCTTTCCCTGCCACCACCATAAGGCATACGGCGGAACACAACTGTTTGCAGGTGGCCATGTCAGTAGGCCTTACGGCGGTGGCTTTCACCCTTCTGCAATGAGCTCATGGTCGCTTTAGAGACCATGAACGTATATCAGAAGGTTTCTCCCGATGGTCCCCTGTAAATAAATAGTGGTCATCAGCGGCTGACAAAATTGGACGGCGGGGGGGCGGAGGAGGGAGCTGTCAAATTCAGGATGTCGAGCAGGGAGGAGCGAGCAGAGCTGCTGTCAGATTCTGGAGATCTGTGGTCTATGCATGTACAAGCGGTTCAGGATGCCGTGCAGAGGATTGGTAAATGTGTCATATTTCCCATTCCTTTCCTGTGCAGAACCAACACTAGAGTGATCGCTGATAACTGGGGACATAGTTCACTCATGAGTTCCTTAATGGACAGACCACTCAGTACAAGAGGCTTCTATCCATTCATAACTGGGGAGAGTACTATTCCTCCTCAGTTTATGAATGAATAGAAAGTCTCTGTACCGAGTGCTTTCTCTTCATTCAGAACAGCTGCAGAAAAAGAGAGGGTCCTTAATTTCTTTTTCCATTTTAAAAGATACATTTTTATTGCAGGATCTACAAAATTAGTAGCACCATCTTTTTATTCTACTGGTTTTCTGCTTTTAACAAACTCTAAAAGTAGCAATTGAAAATAAAGAACAATTTTCAGCACTCTGTACAGAGTACAAAAAGGTTAAAAGTGTTAACAATCTGCTATTTTCTGTCAATCATTTACCTTTCTCTTCATGAGTGTCTGGGGTTTGCCGAGTATTGGTGTAACTTCTAGATGATGTGGTTCCTCTTCATCCTCGCTACTTTGCTGGTTGTGCTTTACGGGCTTTTCCTTCTCTAAGGTTGCAGGGACATCTGCTGAGGGAAGTAGGTAATTGCTTAGATCCTTATTCTTTGACGGTGACTGCTTTGAGTGTGATGGTGAGTAGAAGTGCTGGTGTTCTCGTTCCCTACAGCTTTCCTGCTCCATGAGATGTTCCGCCTACAAGAGTACAAAAACATACACACATGAATTCACATTCTTTATAAAGAGAGGACAGTGGCAAATCACTTGCCTGGAGCTAATGCACCATTTTTTTCCATAAAGGTAAAGCTTTTCTGAAAAATTATATGGTTACTGTGTATTGTGATATATTGGAAATGTATTCATGCAGACTTGTAATGTTACTGACAGGTCTACTTTAAATAAAAGGTTAAAAAGCCTATAGTGGACCAATTCATGAAAAAAACCAAAACACTCATGTCTCTGCTGTCCATACAAATTGCTGCTATTTTTGCAGTGCAATTCCAAGTTTGCAGCTGAGCGCCATCATCAATGTGTCACCACATAGTTGATGATGCTAAGGTAATGGCCAGAAACCAAGTCCCTGGTCATGCCATCAACCTGGCCATGGTGCTAGGACACCAGTAAGGAGAGAAGACCTACAGTATATCTAGACTTTTGCAGGATTGCACCACAGATATCACCACAAATCTTCCGCCAATTGGTCAATATAGAGTAATATTGCCTTAAAGAGTCTGTACATTTTGAGAAACTGAGGCACCACCTCTTTCTTTCCACTGGAGATCCAATCATAACTCTAGTTCTATATAATGTAAGATAGAAGAAAAATCTAGTAGAAAGAACAATACTGTAATGGTGACCAAAACATGTCAGAACCCAGTGATGGAGTATATCCAACAGCATGTACATAGACAAATATGTTTTGGGTAAAATACGTTTTGAAAAAGAATGGTGTACCTCCTTTTCTGAATCGTGCTCGTCTTCAGATACTGCAGAATTAGATGAAATGACTGGCGTCCACCTGAGACAGTCAGGGTCAACCTCATTTACATGACCCCGAGTTTTTACTCTGACCATACAACTTGCCAAGAACTTTTCACGTCGAATGATAACAAACCTGCAAAAAGTACAAAACACCTTTACCTCCAAGCCAGAATCAGACTGCAGAGAAATACTGTATATGGTACCAATTAAACAGTTTACCAGGGTAAAAGAAAAAAGGAGCCCTACTTGAGACTAAACCACTAAACGTGTACCATGCATGACTATTACAATGACGTGGGAGATTTCAAAGAGGTAGAACCTTAGGTAAAATCTGAAATGATCTTCCCTGATCATGAAAATAAGGAGATGTAGGAAATGAGTGGCGCAAAACAGGGTTCAGTTTTACTTTATCCTAAAACGTGCAAGTGACCAGAATAAATGAAATTAACTTTACAACCAAATGTAACAATTTTAAAAGACCAGAAAATGTTGTATACTGGTAACAGAAAAACAAAGACTAATGTACATATCAATTTTGCTTTGGCCAAGGTTCTACTTTAATGATGACACTTTATGCAGGATGATATGAAAATACCACCATTTTATTCTATAGGGTCTTGGCATTCAGAAAATATATAATGTTGGGGGGTTTTACGTCATTTTCAGGCCTAAAATGTGCAATATAACATGGGTGCAAAAATGGAAAAAAGGGCCTCATTCATGAAGGGGTTAAGAAACCCAAAGCAGAAATGTCCACTGAGATCATTTTGAAGTTGCATTATGCAAACTTTGAACTGCTCACATTTTTGAAAATAAATTACTCACCCTTAATTTCTAGCCCTCTCGCTACATTAGACTGCCATATCCCTATAGTATGTTGCTCCTGCATTAAAGGTATGTCCAGACTCAAGTCTTTGGGACATTAGAGTAAAAGCACAACAGTGCGGTGCTACATGTTTACCAGCTGGGCTGCAGGCAGTTTGGGAAGCTGCAGCTGTCAAAGGAGGTGAATATGGACCTGCTGGGCCTGGGTGACAGAGTTTAGCATACTGAGGGTGGCTTCGCAAAAAAAAAAAAAAAAAAAAAAAAGATAATTGGTCTGTTAATAAAATCTATTTTACAATGGCCCGTAATGCTTGCTATGAGGTGGACACATAATGCAAGCATACCAGCAGCTTCCAGGGTGATAGGACTCCATAGAAAAAAATCATGCATTTAAAGGTAATCCAACTTTTAAAGTTAATGTGCTCCAAGACCTTGTAACACTCCGATACGAGTACCAGCACTATATACAATAATCAGAAATTATTTAAATTAAAATGTGCTCAGACTAAACAGAGCCTTCTGTGCTGTTGAGCCTTATAGCATCAGTATGGTCAGCTATTGCCGCGAATTGTTACTTTCTTAGTCTGTCACTCACCTGTCTCCTCTCTTGTCTATCATGTTGAGATGCTGCAAGGTGGTGGCAATGTCATGAGGACACATTCCTGTAGCTCGACTAAGCCCTTTCACACTAATCTGTTTCTCATGATGAGAGGACATATAGTTTATGATCACACTTTTCCAGTATGAGAAATAAGATAAACGGCCCAAATCTGACAGAGGTTTTTCTGGAGAGCCGGCCTGTCCCTCACACCGTGAAAGCAAGTAACCTGCAAGCACATTTCAAAACAACAATAGAATTAGAACATTCATAATATTAATATGGTGTTACCGCTCTATCCTCCAGTTAGAAAATATGCAGCCTTTTTAGATTTAGAACAGTCAGCTTCCTCCCATGGTGGTTTCGTTATGTTTCATCATAAAAATTGTTACTCTTTCACAGGTATAACCTATCTTATGTGGTTTCTAGACTTAAACAAATATATATTGTAGTTTACCATTCCTTAAGAGGTAGTAGCTGCATTTATTTTCTATTTTTAGGATTGTTTTCCTTTATTTTGACCTTGTGATCCTGCCTGACACAAACTTCTTGTCCTAGGACTTAAACAGGACTACATCACACCTCCCTCTCCAGGACATAAAGGATAGGTGTTTTGTAGTCCACAGAGTAACCAGGGATCAATGTGAAGCAAAAGTAGAGGGCACAGGAAGTTATCACACCACTAGATTTGTCAGGATCAGTACTTTTTTTGCACTTAACAGATATAACAAATTGTTTTCAATGGTATATTTACCAGACCAAAAAGGAGCAGATAAGATAATCTGATTGTTTGTGCTTACATACACTTACATACATTTTAAATGTGGACTGCAAATTTACATTGGCAGGCAAATGGATCATTATCACATAATAAAGCATATATATGGACAAACTGGACAACGATCCCATGAGAAATGGTAGCAAATACATCCAGTAATTTCTTGGTAAATATGTTTTTTTCTGTCTAAATATATGGCCATTATTTTGGCATTAATGACAAACAGTTCTCCAGTAGTATTTACTAGAGATTTATATCTTTCCATCTTCCAGACAGGATATAACTACACATGGAGTGGGTTTTGGCACTTTTTTTACCATCTCAATATGCGTACAAAGTATACGATGGTTAAGATAACCTAAAAACTTAGATAAGACATAAAAAAGTAAACCAAATTACAATCTCAAATCTCTACAACTAGAACCCTTTCTTATAAAGTCTGCATTTCCTACATATTTTTTTATTCTTATTTAAATCATATGTTTAATGCATTTTTCCTTCGGTTAAAGGAATATGAATCTATGCTCCAAAGAAACAAAAAGTGAGAGATGGCTGGCGTGTCAAGTATTTTCCTTTGTAATATCCCTAGCATCAGGTAGAAAAATATAAAGTGTGAGTCAAGAGGATACTAAATGGAATACTTTTAAACAAGATAAGCAAACAATTAACATGGTGGAAAAGTATTTTTTTGACGTTGTATTATTTAAAAATGCCATCTCTTTGAATGTGGAAAACCATTACTTCCTAACGTATAATAAAATGTATGAAGTTAACATTGTAAAATATAACTGTGTTCGCTTTAAAGCAAACCTGTGCTTTGTCTATGAAGGGCAAAGCAACAGGCTCACGTTGACCTCCATTACCCCAGCAGCAAATACAGGTGTATCCATTGCTTCTTGGGAGCAAAAAAGATTGCTAGTATTGAGGAGCATGTGGGCTCACTCCCCTTCCTCTCATGTGAAATGACCGGCATTTGGTGAATTTCCCACTGCCATCACGCGGTATGGGGAGTCAGCTCTTCTGACTCAGAGCTTACACAGGGATTTCTCTCTAAACTTCCGGTGAGGCTTTGATCCTGTAGAAAACTCATGAGAAATAGGGCTACATTTCTTTAAACTATTCAAGTTAGGTAGGCATGGTCAGTACTGACAGGCTAATGATCACCTCCTTCAAACTAAAACTCCTGAGACTGCAAATGGTACACAGCCCACAATCGTGAATATGCTTTTTTTAGTGGCTTGGTGGTTATACAGCTATACAAGTTTAGGTAGTAAAGCAATATCACAGCTAAAGTCCTGCAGGAACAATGTTGCCACTTGTATGCTTATGACAGCCAAAATAAGGGCTGCTCATGAAGTGACAATAAAAAGACTATTCTCTTTTAGTGTAGGGTTTTTTTTACGTACACTCTTGTAAATGCCATCATGTTTCCATTTTTTTTTATGGTTTGCAGTGCTAAACATTATTAAAGATTGAAAGAAAAATGTAAACAAAAGGTACCCCAATGTCACAAAAATTACAGTATGCATAATCAGATGATATTAGGATACTGAAGTTGTGAACAGCTTCTGCCTTCTGGGATCAATTATCAACCAGAAAAAGCTCTAGCAGCCCATACAGTCTTGCACTTGGCAGGACTGCAATAAAAGGCTTAGAAGAACCTTAAAAACATGGATGACACCAATATGGATACCGATATTGGTGCCTATAACGAGTATTTGAGCGATTACTCTTACTCGCCCAAATGCTCCGATAATTACCCCGATACCGGAAATCCGGTCAGAGGGAGCATGGAGCCAACTTTCCGGCCAATCAGAAAGCTGGGCGCCGGCTTCCTGATTGGCTAGAAAGCTGGCTTCACTCGTTGCTAGGCAGCCCGACTTACGGATTGGCTAGAAAGCCGGCATCACTTGTTGCTATCAGCCTGGCTTCCTGACCAATCAGGAAGCCAGGTGGCACGTCATGACCCGCCTCCCTGATTGGCTAGGAAGTCAACTTCACTTGTTGATAGGGAGCCTGTCTTAGTGACAATTTAGAAAGCCGGGTGGCATGTCATGACCCGTTGCCCGGCTTCCTGATTTGTTAGGAAGTCAGGCGGTCTATCAACAAGTGAAGGGTCATGGAAGCCAGACTGCCTGTGAACGTGAAGACGGTGTTTTTTATATAGAACACCAGCTTCCTGATAAGCCGGCCCAACAGTATCCCAGGATGCCAATATCGGTATTCACTATCGGCGAGTACTGAAAAAAAATATATCGGTACTCTTACTCGATGCCGAAAAACCGGTATCGGTAAATCCCTAGTCTAGACTATAGGAAGTGCATTGGTGTTTTTGAATAAACGAGTTGTCAATATTACTTATAAATATAAGGGGACAGCCAATAAGGTAACCAAACTGATTCTTAAAGTAATATTAAAGTCAAAAGGTTTTTTAGCTATTTCAAATGCTGATTAAATCCCTTACAAATGGATGCTGCTTAATTTATGTATAAAAGTTTTTTCTCTGCAGCATCAGCTGATCCTCTAAACACTGGCACTGATATCCTGTTTTCTTTGCCTTGCAGGGTCCTATGGAGCCATCCTTGTGTGTACTAGTAAGTTGTGTTTGTGTCCACAAACACAGGCACAGCAAGGCAAGACACTCCCCTGCCCCCCTCTCCCTCTTTCCTCCCTCCCTCCTCTAAGCTAGTAGTTATGCAGCTGCTGGAGACTACACTGTCCTTTGTGCTCTCGGACTGGATAGGAAGTTCAGGTAAGTGATGCTGAGAAAGTTAGAGGCAGCTGTTTGGAAACATGACTATTTGGGCAAAAAGTGTAATACTAAACTGGGCAATGTATATTTGTTTGATTTGGATTCATTCTTTAAAAAAAAAGGTGGAGTTTAAGACTACTTTAACTATATGAAGCCTGTCCCTCATGATCCCCAGGATGGCTCAACTGAAACTTATATATACACATTATAAGACAGATTTCTTGGAAAAATCTATTTTATTGGGAGATGATGACGACAGAAAATGATGGTGAAGGTCAGCAAAAATAAAACAATCACAGCAACTACAAATAAATCTCTTCAGGGCTTTCAGATGACAGAACATCTTTGAGGAAGCCGGCACCTAGCGCAGTCACATGAGAGCAGAGAGAGAATCCATAGCTTTGTGTAAGATGGAGTAGCTTGGGGATTGGTGGATAGGAATTTCTGTTATGTGCCAAGGGCTAATGACTCTCTCTGTACTATCATATGACAGTGCTCAGTGCCTGAGTGGTCAGTTACCACACACTAGCCATTGTGGTCCCAAGCAAAGAGAAGAGGGAGAACAAGTCTAAGGTTCAGTTTAAAAGAACAACTGTTGCTTTACTCATGCATGTTAACCTTAAATGTCTAAATTCTGCAGCATGTTAGTTTAGGACTAACCAGACATGAGAACCATTGGCTTGGGTGCTGAGCTTACATATTTTGGCCTTAAATATAAACACCAATATCTCATAATTCTGTGTGTTTTGGTTTACTGGGGATCGGTTTAAGATGCCTACAGACCTGCCTAATTAATCAATACTTTGAGCAACAGGAGATTGTGTTTCGGCATTGTGCAGCCATGGTCGAATTCCCCTAGCTTTTGTATGTTAGTATATAGCTATTTGCAAGTACAGGACTAAAACAGGGCATGCATTGTTTACAAAATGGCATATTACACTTTCTTAATCTGCATTAAACTAAGATTTATTTAAATACCTGCTGCTCCTGCCAGTGACTACCCCTTCCTCCAGCAGGGGGACAATGTTGAATGGCCTACAGTAGATATATACTGTAGTGCTGTCACCCAGATTAGGTCAGTGTTCTTATGTAAACTGCCAGAAGGGACTTCAAAGTGTTACATAGGTGGTCTGGGACCAAACCCTAGTAATTCATTAAAAGCATAAGTTCTTTAAATTCAGTTTCAATATCACTGCCACGGTCATCAGGCAGACAAAACACATGCATCTGCGTAAAATGACTGGCAGATAAAAAAAAAAAAAGAAGTAGCAAAGAAACAATGAGCGTACAATCCTGTTCTGTAAATATGAGGATCATAAAACCTTTGGAAATGGAAAAGCTATTCTGCAGAAAGGAGGATTACAGAAAGCCTTAAACCATTATGCTTACTAGCAAAAATGTATAATATGCAGTGACTGAAGCACCATTCTGATAAGAGAAACAGAGGTGCTGCTGCATACAATAGGTTCTATATTTCAGATAGAAAGCACTCAGTAGATTAAATCATATTGCTTCGAATGCGTGTCAATATCCTACAGCTCCTGTATTAGTATATATAACTCTGAGTTAGTAATGCTCCTCCTGTGTGCTGCATGCAAAACATATTACAGTATGCAGGGGAAAAAAGGTTAAGTAAAAGACAAGAATCTGGCAGCGCAGGAGAGAGATAATGAGAAAGCGCTGCAGGCTGTCAGTGTTATTAAGAGGCACTTAGAGGGGACACGACAAACACCAGGGGGGCAAAGCAGTCTGACTTCCTGTAATTACACTCAGCCAACCTCATTAAACACCTTCACAAACCCGCAATAAACGTTCAGACAGCCCTTGAGACACAATGTAGAAAACGCTAATCTATAGACAAATCAAAGCATTCAAGCAGCACACGGACAATTATACCCATGTTTACTTAAGTAATGGTCATAGTTCTGGGGTCCAGCTTCACAGTTCTACTTGAATTCTATCTTTATTATGTGTCAGTGAGCAAGCAGCATCCTCGGTTTCCCACAAAATCAGCTTCATAGCAGACGCAGTTACAGTGCCCAGACTAACATGCACAATTCAGACACATGCACTGCCAAGAGCTCAAACAGACAAAAGAGCTACAGCACAAGTACACAGCTGCCAAGATCAGCTTAAGCAATGAGTTCTGACAGTACAGGGAAAAGAAGGGAGGGAGGGAGAGGAGGAGGAAGGTCTCCATTACTAGGGTGAGATTTTACACGCAATGCAGATCTCTTCTTTATGCTTCACCTTCCGCATGGCTTTATCTCCTGAGCACAGATGTATGAAATCCTGCTTTGATAGTTCACAATGCAGGAGTCGTGGGATTCATTTTAACACACGGTAAAAACTCGATGATTAGGCTTAAGACGTTATTTTAAGAATAACAATTAATTTATTTAAATGGATGGTTAAATGCTTTCTTTAAACTATAACACTAAGCAGTGTTGTAGGCTAAAGTATATTTATTGAAAGGCTACATGACTTAACAGTTCTAATGATTCTGACATGAAAATCTAGGACTCTAAGCAGTGATAACTGTCATGGCTATATAAAATAGTCAACTTCATGTTATGCAAAACTTAAATTGGAATTTTGGACATTTATGATCGTAAAGGCATCACATAAAAAAAAAAAAAGGAAGAAAGAAGGACGAATTGCTACAGTTTTAAAGCTAAACCTTTACTCTTGCAGCTGAATGCCAGGCCATTGCGACTGAAAAGCTCTGACCTCGGAGTAGTGTGAGTTTGCCATCGCCTCTTACCCCCGCACATTCCTAATCACCCATTACTATGATGAACTGCAGCACTGGCCAATAAGAATGTGCAATAGGCAGGAAGGGCATGGCGAGTTTAGCCACTATCACAATGCTTGCCTCCAGAACAGCCTGGGATTCAGCTACAAAATCAAGGAAGAGGCTGCTGGGTTTTTTTTTTTACCTGAAAAAGTTGTTTTTCTTATATGTATCTTATTATGTAGTAATACATTATGGTTTTTTTTTTTAAAAGATCTCAGATTATAGAATTGTTTTTGCTATAAAAACCTAATAAAACCTACATCTAATAGATCACACTGAAGTGGAACATGCTTATTTTCTAAGACACCACTTACATATTACATTCTTTTAACCTTACAAGGTAGGCGTACTTATCTGTACATCAAGAAGCCTTTAAATCACTTAAAAATAATACTTGTATCATGCAGCTGCATACAGCAAGAACGTGAGAGCTCGACGTCTTCCGAATACAGAGGAGTATCAAAGAATGACTTAAGTGCTTCAAAGAATCCACAATATACAAAGAATCAAACATGACAATGATCAATAGCATTACTTGATCTATGTTCTGCTCTTGACACGTGGCATGCTACTAGAGCTTCTAATGGTCTAACGAATCCCTAAAGGCCTTGAAGGAACGGAGAGGGATAAAAAAAACTTACTGAAATCAATGAGGAACCTTCCAAATCCTTGCCGCTGATACTGAGGCAAAATCATGATACATGACACATTGTACTTCTGCTGGCAAAGTTTCTCCTGTAAAAAGAGAAGACTGGGTTAAATCTCTAACACATGAAAGAACAAGCAGGTTTGTTCAATAAGGAAGTATAAGGAAGGGTCTGTTATTTTATTGCCATTTGTATCTCCATTGGGAAGATTTCACCTCACATCCTGTCCAGTGACAGTGAGGGAGCCAGAGGGACAAGAAGTGATTGGAAGCCTCTCCAATAAGGATAGAGACTGTAAAAAAAAAAAAAAAAGAAGTTGAAATGGAAGGAAGGGTTAGGATCTCATCAAGCTTTTATTGCGGTCTGTCTTTAAGCCTGGAGAAAGGAAATCTTTACAAAGTCAGAGACAACAAGAAAAAAACAACAGAAGAAGTTTTACGCCTTCACCACTGTATTCACAAGGGGAAAATATTTTTTTTCCCCTGGAGCTAGTCTTTAATAGAAGTGGCTGCATTTTCTTTGTGATTTCCTGTTACAAATTCCAACCTGCTCTCATCTAACACCGAGTTAGTTACATGGCATCTTAAAGGCTGCCTGAACAATGCTACATAAAAGGTAAAAGTGGGCGTTTGGAGGATATAGCCACGCAGACGGACCATTATAATGTTTAAAGGTCCAACTCAATCCCTTTTAATTATAGATTGAGCCTGGTGGGCCAAGTCAACCCCTGGTTTCTTGCATAAAGGAGGAGGAACGTGCTAACTGTTAACTTCAGTCCAGATATGTTAGTTATGGTAAAATAAAGACAATGCATTTCAGGGGTTCCGAGGGGAATTCATCTAGGCTTTGGGGGGTGGGAAGCAGGAGAAAATTAACCTGCATAGTTAGCGATAAGGCTCCTGGGAAGGAAATGTAAATGTGAATATAGCGCCTGCTCTAGTCACTGGGTTGGAATCAGACCTGCAATTGGAGCAGGTTCTATAGTTGTATTTATTGTAAACCACTGGATAAAAAAAAAAAAAAAAGCTTTCTTTCCTTTAACTTTAATTATGTAACCACGAAAACTAACCAAGGCTATAGTGTGTCTGAGAACAGCCAATGAAAAATAATTGAACCAAATAACACCTCATTTGGACTCCTACCGAGTTCAAGAGTGCTTCACTTCTCAAACAGTTTTCTTCTATGTCATGGATAATCCAACTGTAAAATCTCCCTGCCATAATTGCCAACATTTCTGTCTTGTTGGCTAGCTCTAAGCCTCCTTGCTATATTAGCAATTATAATTGGTATATACATAAAGCACATGCCATCTTAAACAGGAACAGGCAAGACAGTGAAAATTATTTCCATGGCTTAATAAAACTTAATAGCACAAGTGTTATGTACAACAATGTTATAATCATCTGGTGAGTTGTGAAACGCGAACTTCAGTTAAGTTCTCCAAATCTGCAAACCCAGGTTGAAGATGTCCATTAGGAATTGGTAAATGCCAATGTGCTTGCAAATATTGTTCCTCGTGAGCACAAAAACACAAGACACAATGAAATCCATCTGCATTTACAAGTACGGTGCTAAAACAGCAACACATAAAATGTGTCCTTGGAAGCATGCCTTTCACTGTGCTGTTCTGAGTCATTCTTTTCAGCTCAGCTCAGGGTTCATTCAACACACAGCGTATTCGGAATAAAGCATTAGAAAACCTACCTTAGAGAAGTATCCAACCAAATGACAGCCCTTCTTGTCATTTTTAGTAAGAACATAGAAAAGGAACGGCTCAACGTCATAATATAATGTTTTGTGATCCAGAAACAGCTTGGCCAGCAAACACAAATTTTGGCAGTAGATTTTACTTATGTTACCATCCACCTAGAACAACAGTTACACAAAAAACATTTATAATAAGCATTGCCCAACACCTAACAATTTATGATGTGTATATAAAACTGCAATCTTGCAAACCTAGTCATAAACATATACATGGGTAGTAAAGATTTGGTTTGCAACTACATAACCATAAACCATTACAAAATACTGCCTTTCCCAGTATGCGAGTTACTGTATGATGTTACCAAGACATAAATTTGTTTATGTAAGGTGTGCTGCCACATCCAGTGTCATTTTCCTGATTTCTGCTGTTTTGGTTACACTGCATATCTATATAATTACATTTCACTGTGTTATGCTGTATTTCTGACTACAAAAGTGTAAGATTAGCCTTGTTACAGCTTAATCTGTGCACACTTGGCATCTTCAGTCTCACTCCTGCTGTTTTCTGTATATTGGTACAGTCTGGTGCTAAATTTCCCAGCACTGCTCTCTAATCTTTCTTTCCACACCGCCTTCTCAAGAGGTAAGGTGGCTATGTTACCCCGTTAATGGCAAAGATAGGAATGTCTTTTCACTCTAGACACTACATTGGATTATCCTCCGAGTCAGATTTATCGAGTTGCACACTATCTTTATTGAATAACAACTAGTCAGTATGTTGTCATACTGCCCGTACAGACAAGTCTCAGGAAGGTATGTGCAAATACATAAAGCGGTGGTTGTAACAGAATATAAGGTAGACCAAGAGATATGTATATATGTTTTAACATTGGGAGAAATAATTTCTATGTGGCCCTCCAGAGAATATACTTGCCCACATACCTCAAACACTGATAGGTCATCTTTCCGGTAAATTTCATTGGCAGGAGGGTGGAACCAGCCACACTTCTTTAAGTGCCGCAGTAGGATATTCTTGCTCTTCATATACTTCAGACAGAACTCGCACAGGTAAAGCTTCGGTAATCTGATTTAAAAAAAAAAAAAAGGATCAAGAACTAAACATTATTTTTTCAGATAACACAAGTGGCCTTTGCCTCCAGCTGTGGCAGACACAAAAACACTAAGGAAGGCACAGATGCAGTTAACCTGTCCTAAGCATGTCTTTTCATTCCTTCTATTGTTGTGACCTAGCTGCAGCTGACATTAGAAAGGAGAGCAGGTTCATGAGAGACACAGTTCCACTTTTCTATTATCAAGAAGTTTAAAAACTTTTGTCTCAGCTTTAGACATGCAAGGTTTTTTTAAAACATTTTTTATTTTCAGGTGTTAGGGACTACCGTCATATAAAATAGTATTTTCACCTAACTAGATGTAATAATAGTATTCAGTATATTACCTCCTTTTCTATTTCACATGCCTTTCTATATATTAATTTGACATTTACCTTCAAACCAACTGCCCAGCCATAGTGACAGAACCAAAAAGGTATGACCAACTATTACACTGCCAGAAGAGTATTTAATGGTTACCTTTTTATTCCCATGGTTTGAATCATTTTCATGTCACTGACAATATCGCTGGGCAGCTGATCTGCATGTAAGAGTTACATTCATACAGAGACCAGAAAGAAATTCTCGAGAAAAGTAAAAAAAAAAATGAAATGTACTGAATGCTATTCATTACAAATATTAACCACAGTTATCAGAATACCACATATTTCACATTAAACAATGATAACAAAAAAAGCAAACAGATAATGCAAATTTTCTTAATACTTCAATCTAAAACGAATTTTGTTTCTCCTTTTGGGAAGTGTGTGTGTACATGGGATATTGCTCAGCTCTCACCTTGCATATTCCTGTGGATAAGGCGAGGAGTACCATGTCTGGATTTCATACTTTCCAAACTCAATAAATGAAGGGTATCGTCCAGTGTGGTCATCAAATGTTTGACATCCTATTTTCTACCAAACAAAAATTGGCATAAGAATTAAAAACACCATTACACATGTAAATAAAATAGATTCTATAGATTATCATATAGTTTATTGTTCTTATAAATCGTTGCCATGCAAAAGCTAGTTGTATTTTAAAGTCCTATTAGGGGTCTATGAAGGAAAAGGAGCTATTAAGAAATAAAAAAAAAAAGAAGGTTCATCGAACTGTAATTAATCCAAGTATCCAAGGAACGCATCGTGATTCTCTCTACCCATTGCTATCCACTTTTCAGATTCCATGATACAATTAACCTGCCTTACCCAATCTGATCTTGTAGGTACCTTTTGGCTCTTCCAAAATCTTGGTATAAATGACAGTCCAAGTACTGCACCGCTGAATACAGACAAAATGGTCTGGACAGGAATGGGGTTTAACACTCCGCTCACCAAGTGGTTAAATTTCACTTTAGGCTCACTGCACAGCCAATGATGGGTTCACCCAGCCCCCCAAACTGCGGAGACTCTGTCATGAATTTTTCTATTTTTTTCCGATGGAGATCCTGATGAGTGATACATTTCTCTGCCCCCAGCCGATTCCAATATTGCTGAATAGCAAGATGTTGGCACCTATACTAGTTTTTTCCTTGCCATTTACTAGTTTGTCAGTGCATCCACAGATAACTGCAGGATACTAAATAAGCTACAGAAAGTAAATACAATCCCTTAAGCACTTAAACTATACATATTGTGAAAGGCATACAGAGGCTACCATTGCTGGCCTTCTACAGAGAATGCTGATTGCCTGGTAGTGTCTGGCTTCAATTTCTTGTTGTTATGTATGGACATAGACCAAGCATCCTGAATATCGGTGTCAGAATTCCTTATCTAAACTTTTTACAGTTGGTGACTTTTTATAAAATGTGGAAGACAGTGCACTAGCATGAGAGTCATAGCTAGCCCTGAATAGCTGAGAAGCTTCTTACTGACACAGGAAGAGAGATCCCAACTCAAAAACAGCTGGGATTCTTTGTAGGAGGAGATGCAGGTTAGCAGCAACTGCTACCAGAACCAAAAGCATTAAGGATCCATCCACGCTCTGTGTGTCACACATGTTCAAAGTTACTCTAACATATGAGTTTTTGTTGCCAAGACCTCGGCTCAGGTAGATTACTGTGCATGGTTTTTAGTACGGAAAGCAAGCAGAAAAATAAAGCGACTCCCCTGAGCCCTTTTTTTAAAGCAGACCCACCCCTAAAAAAAAAAACACCAACGCTATCTAAAACTATTTAGGTTAACAAGTACATGTCCATGCAACTTTTTTTCTTTAAATACATATTTAGCCACATACACACCACACCTGTTCCACCTGCGCTCTTGTGCTGACACTTAAAAAGATAGTCAAGGGTGTCTGGGGTCTTCTTCCTCCTTCTCTGCTGGCTCACCAATGGCATTTGTGCTTCTCTCAAGTGTAATGATGTACTGTGCATGATGATCTCTCACAAGTGCTATACAAATATGAACAATTTTGTGTCTGTAGTTCAGTTTTAGGAAAGGTCTAATGTACCTTCTCTGCGATGAAAGCGTCAGCCATATTTCAGATGAGAACATTGCCCTACGTGTCCTCTCCAATAGCCACTGCTCGGCACTTTTGAGTTCCCCATCTCCTGGCCTTAATAACCTATGATTTGATCAACACATTTTCTAACTCCCTAATTCAGAAGTACTATATAAGCATCAACTCCAAGTAAGCTGGGTGTTAGGAGGTACACAACAGTATTCTCAATTAGAATAGTGGCTGCTTGTGTATATTTTTTGAGACCTATAACTCCCCCCCCCCCAGTTTCTAACATCTAAATTTACAAAAAATTTAAAGTTCAATACATGAATATAAAGTCCTGCTAAAAGCTAAATCTTTGCAGTGTAGCAATAATCACCTCAAAGGACTGTTCCCGTGCTTGTCTGAATAGGTCAACATCTTCCTGGGAGACAAAGTCTGGTTTTTCTGGAACACAGATCAAATCCCACCTTTCTTGCTTGATATCCATCTTCAAGTCAGCATCTGATGTTTAAAGCAGAAAGACCACTGAAAGGCTCAGACACATTGTAAGTACTCAACTGAGAAAGGTGTAGGGAGACCAACATCACAGTAACAAAGCTTTATGCACAGAAGAGTCACATTGGAAGATCTCATCTCTTAAATCATAAAATCATTAAGGCCTTGTTCACACCAAATGCAGAGCAGATCTGCATGAGTTTTTACCGGCTCTGGAACGTAATGCTGCGGTGTGAACTGGAGCTAAAAAATACCATTGGAATACATTGGACGCAGTTTTGCTCCGGTCTGTAACTGCTCTGCGCCTGGAACGTGCTTGGGGTGAACAAGGCTTAGTGGCACACTATATATATATGATGATAGTAATAGAGCTTTTATTCTAAATCCAGTGAACAGTAATAGCAGTGCAGACAGTATTTTTACACCAGTATTCAGGCAGTAGGCAAATCTTAGGTCTCAGAGTGCACCTGGTCAGTATAGGCTCGGTGAAGACCTGTGAAGCTAACCAGTCACCAAGTATCTGCCACTGGGCCAAGCTTCAGTATCTTGCTAGTCGGCCCCGCTGGCTGTCAAAATACCTGAACAATCTGATTGGATGCAGGCATTGTTCAGGTATTTTGAGAGCCAGAAGGGCCAACTAACAAGATCCTGAAGCTTGGCCCAGTGGGAGATTCCTCCATCCACACAGTTTAGCATAGATGGAGGAATCTGTTGCACTTTTTTCCATCTCCATCAAAACTGCTGTTCCATCAGTGAAGAAATGGGTGCAGTGGATGTCGGTGGATGGCTACCGCCAAAATATATAGATGCAGAGATAGACATCGGCACTCCAAGGCAAGTCAAGTACGTCTATTTATTTACGTACATGTTGCAAAGCAAAAGCACTAGGTGCAACATTTCAGGGTCTCACAGGATCCAAGTTGTTTGCCTGGTGAAGGGTATCCTGTGAGACCCTGAAATGTTGCACCTAGTGATTTTGCTTTGCAGCATGTACGTGAATAAATAGACATACTTGACTTGGAGTGCCGGTGTCTATCTCTGCATCATGAAAACACACACACATCAAACACAGCTGGTGTCCTGTTTCCACTTTTATTTATATTAAAAATGGGACTTTAATGAAATAAAAACCCACCTGCTGGAAGGTGCCAGTGAGATACAAGCTGTATACTAGTTCCAAGGCAAAAACCTCACAAGCCGTATATTGCTCTGAAGTTAGTTTGCAGCGTGAATGAAAAAAATGGTGACCTCCATCAGAAAAACAGGATTTTTGACTTGCTGTTAAATCCTTTTCTCGGCGTTCATTAAGGGGCAGGGAGTACAAGTAATTCCGAGACAAATGGGTTACACTGCAGCTCACATGAGATTGAACACTGACCAACTCAGCGCCGCCTCATCTTATAACCACAAAAAACTGGGTAATATATTGTCTTCATGTACACTAAAATTAACATAAGTGTATTTGAACTGAAAATTTGGGGTACACAGTTACGCTTATATTTTAAAATTTTTTACAGGGTCTCTGCTTTCAGGAAATATATAATTCTGGGAGGTTTTAAATAGTCTTCAGGCCTTAAAAGGTGCATTTTAACACGTGTTCAAAAACGCTAAAAACGGCTCTGGAAGCAAAAGCTCCAGAATTAGAAAAATATTATCTTAATACAAGATAAGTCTTCTTACTTGAATTATGGTGTGCTCTGTGCATTTCTTCCAGGGCTGTTTACCATGAAACTCCTGTACTTTGCCCCTACAGGAGCTTCCTGTAATAAAGACTGGTTACTCAAGCTTTCTCTCTCTCTCCTTGCGCAGGGTTACTGGTCTTCTATCCACTTCCCCTGTAGTTTTTTTTGCAGGCAATGTGTATTGGGAAAACTTGCTGGGTATCTCTCACATCTCTGCTCTCTGGACAGGCTATGTGCATCACAGTGATGATCTCACCGCAACTTTTATATGGGAATATCTGGTTTTGCAAAAACACTGGGTGCATGTAAAGTGGATTTATATCCTTTGGTGATATTGAGCAATATATTTAAATTTAAGTTTTTGCTCCAGAGTTCAGCTTTATTGCATGTTTATTGGAGCTTCTTCAGGAGAGCACTTTAAAAAAAATAAACCACCACCAAAAAGCTTTCCTTAATGGCAGTATAGAGATGCAAACATCAGTCAACACTGGAATAGTCACAAAATATAAAACGCTCAACAAGGACAATTTGAGTACAGAAAAATAAATGGCAACATAATATGTGATGTTATCCAAATTTTCCATCTTAACTAAATCACTGAGGTCATAAGAATCAGCAACGAGAACATATGAAATGTAAAATATAGCTGTCTACAGTCACTCGTAAAATATACATTTTATGCTCTGTATGGTATGCTTTATAAATAGCCCCTGTCCTTTTTTAGAAGACCATGTGCTGCAAATGAAGATGATGGGGAAGGTTTGCCCTGTCCTTGTGTTTGATTTTCACTTATCTGTTAGAGTGAAGAATCTTTCTCACCATTAAAGTGACACTAAACTCAGGGAACTTGAATGCATTTTTAAGATTTTAGCAGGTCAGATAAGCCTACTGTAAAGTAATGTCAGGGCACTACTGATTAATGTGCATAAATATTTCATTAATCTCTCATAAGTGATTTGGTGCCAATGTGTGTAACCTGTGAACAAGCGTGTTAGTCAATGCTTCAGTAGCAACTATATAATACGGATTATAAAAGTGCAATACATAAAAAAGTGCTAACGTGCAATATAAATTATCATATTAATGAATGGATGATAGTGTACGCAAATATATATAAAAATGCAAATTAATATAAATTCCTGAAATCTTGATTTAATATATATACATGCGATAAAAAGATAATTTTCCATAGAAAGATGGATGATGATCAAAGTGATATAAATTATTGTTTGGTGAAATAATTCTAATATTAAATCCAATATGTGCAAAAAAGTCCAATTGGCCAGAAAGCCGGCTCCATGCTTACGTGTCACCTGGTGACAAGGGAGCATGGAGCAGCTTACCGGCTAATTAGGAAGCCGGGCAACGAGTCATAACACGCTGCCGGGCTTCCCTAATCGGACTTCCAGTATCGGTATTTTGGTTAAAAAAAATGGTACTCAATATCGAAAAAGCGGTATTGGTGCATCCCTATTCAAAATGAATGCAATTAATTCTTCTAGTATACGCCAAACCAAAGAATCTGCTGGGAACTAGTCTTCTGAATAAATTTGGATTTTAACGAACAGATGCATTTTCCAGACTAGAGAGCATGGAGCACAGTCTGGTGTGAATGGGCACACACGCTCCTGAGAAGATAAAAGGAAAGTGAGAAAGCCAGAGACAGAAAACAGGAGGAAGACATATGTGTTGGGTGCCATATAACTAGATCCACACCTGTCTTTGTCCAGCTTCCACCCTGCAGGACCACTGGATACCAGCTGTGCTTGCCAGACATAACCTCTTAGCAACGCCATGGAAGAAATATTTTTAAAACCATAAGAAAACATTGCTCATCTTCCCCACCACCTCCTTTTCAGCATTGTCTACTAACGAATATCAGTTAACATTGAATTGCAGAGGAGATGCAAATGTTTATGTTTTAAAAGACTTGAGATATCATTTTTAAGAACTACTAAATGCACATACATTATATGAATGTTTACAGAAATGTTTAAACAATAATAAAATAACTTCAGTAGAACAAAACATTTTCCAAAGGCATATATATAGAGTATATATTTTGCCCTGTACTGCAAGTTATCAGTGCAAGTTAAAGAAAAAGGTCAACTGTTATTTGGTGGAATGCACTGGGATAAAAGCAAGCAATGATTCAAGACATAGAAAAATGTGCATGCGATGAGCTGATGAAAAGCAGAGTTAGAGTTGGGTACAATGCTGTATGCAAAATATGGAGCCAGCCAAGAAAGATGGGAGGAAGTTGAACCAGCCATGCCAAAAAGCCAAAGCAAAGCAATGAAGATATGGAGGCCAGGGAGGTGGTAATAGCTGAACTATTCTATAGCATTGATCAAATGGTAAGAAAGACCAGGCAGAACATGAGCACACTATGTGGAAAGAGGGAGTTTAAACCATTTAAAGGTTAAGTAACACAAGATGAGCTAAGCTGAAGTCCACAAATCAGTCCTTAAACCAAGATCTTTTTGCCAAAACTAGAAAGGGGAACATAAAGTATGAAGCAACATAATAATTTTGCCTGTGCTAGTAATAACACAGTAATTTAAGAAACCATTAGTGAGAACATATGGAGGCTGCTGTTGCTGACTTAACTTTATAAAATTTTTAGTTGCCTTGCTGTTATGACAATCCAATAACAGACATAACACAAGCATGAAGACCAGTTCTGCTGATTGTTTCAGGTCAGCAACTCAAAAGTATTTGAGTCAGTAGCAGCCAAGCAACTTTCATTTTGAAGAAAAGGTCGGCAGTTTTTTCAGCACGGGTTCTATTTAAATATGATATTTTAAAGGGTCCTAAAGTTTCAAAGAATCAAGGTTACACAACAGAGAAACTAGCATTGCCAACTACAAAAGAATAAAAAACCAAGCCAAAGAGGATGGTAGTAAATATCTACAACAATTTCCATGACTTTGTGTTACTATTTTTGCTCTTCCACTTGTGTGTATTCTGGGGCGCATTTAAACTAGATATATTCAATTATACACTACATTTGGGTAAGCAATTTCTTTTAGATAATTGTACTGTACCATCCTTGTATGTTGGTCAAATAAACAACTAGGCATATACAAATGCATTTGCCCACAAATGTTATTGGCCTCAGGAGCCTAAAGGCAATGCAAAACCTTGATCTACATCTGAAATGTTAGACTTCCATGTGTGGCACCTGACCTACTGAAACCATGACCCAACTACTACAGATTTGTTCACACATTTTCAAACTTCAAAATGCAAAGAGACACCTTCTTGTCAAATAGGTACATATGCAGTGTGAAGCATGCTATCATTGTATAACTAGCTTCTGTGTATGCCTCAGCTTGAGCTCTATTGAGAAATTAGACTTAAAAAGCTGTCTAATCAGGGAGGAAGAGACTGCATCTAATCAGGGAGGAAGAGACTGCATTAGTAGCACTACCATTAAAAGGCAAGTGACACAGCATGTTACAAAAAACGTTTAAATACTAAGCTCAAGTGCAACATAAAAGTACTGAGGAAAGGGTTCTCAAGCCTCTGCTTACCATCGTCCTGGACGGTCTTAGTCCTTCTGTCTGCCAAGCTGACCTTTCCTGGTGTCCTGGCTCCCGCCCCTATAGGTCCCACTTTGTACTTTAACCTGCCTAGTGTCCTGTGTTTTATAAGGAATGATGAGCGTTTGTATTGAGCGATGGCTTTCAAAGCCCGACCCCGAGGCACTGCCCAGCTTGGAGGGCTGGAGTGGGAAAGAAGGAGCCTACTCCTTGCGTCCCTTTTGCCAAAGAAGTGGGTTGAGGTGTACAGTCTGCCTTTTTGGCGAAGGCGCTTTGGAGGTGCATAGCTTGGGTTGCTTTTTTGGCGTGGCTGGCCCTGAGTAGCATAGATATGGGACAGTCCATCAAACAGCCCCTTCAATTGACTGTTACTAGGTAGGCTTCTTAGGGACGGGGCACTGGAGTGACTTGAGGAACTCTGGGGTGAATTAGACGTGGTAGAGTTGCTGGATTGCTGTGAGGTAGGGCTGTAGCCAGACAGGGAAGAGATATGTGAGTGAGCAGGAGGGGGAGCAAGTTGTGAGGGAAGAGGTGGGCTGCTTAGGCCATGAGTGGTACCCGTAGCCAGCCTATGGAGAGTGCAAGAGTCTGGGTCATTATGTTTTTTCCTGGGACGATAGTGCACAGAAAAGTCTACCATTCGCCTGCGAAATTTGCGTCCCTCAGGTGATGGAGTGAAAAACTTAGTGAGGCCGTCAATTAGCCCTTTGGTTTTCTTGTTAACTTTGAGTGGGGAACAGGTGGAAGTGAGGGTGGAAGTGATGGGATGGGGGCCAGGCCAAATGAGGTCAGATGCAGCCAGGCTGCTGATGGGGTCCTTCACAGATGCAGCATGACCAGATGGCAGTGTGGTGGGACACATTTTATTTTTTTGACTCCTACCAGATGGCCCCCTTCCTGGTATTGAGTTCACAGATGTTCCATCATTGGGCATACACCTGTAAGTAACACAGAGATTTTAGAAACAAAAAAACTGAAAACAAAAAGAATAAAAAACAACCCAGGTTTCAGAAATACGACAGTAAATTAGAAAAATAATCAGTACATTTGGGAAATAATACAATGTATATTAGCCTGCTATATGCTGAGTTTTGGGTCACAGCAGGACATTAGTATATGTCCTCCTGTGACCCTAAAGAGAACTATGGCAAAAACAGTTAGGCCATGGTGTTCTTAAATTGCCTACAAGTAGTATTTCTGTGAGAGGTCATGGATTCTGGACTCATGGAGTTCAGCTATCTTTATGGTTCTTCTGTACCCCTAAAAAATCTGGCCAATTGAATTATTTGAACGAAGTCTGGATTTAAAATGGTAAGAATTAATTATGCAGTATCCATTGTATGATATAATCAGCATCTGTAATAGTTTAAAAAGCTAAACCTAAAGTGATATTAATGCTTCCGGGTTTATTTTATTGTTCCATCTAGGAGGCACAACGTCTTATAAATTGTCTGTTCTTTTTCTTCAAAAAGCTTCTACTCATTTTCTCGTGGGTCCCCGCAGCACTCATCCCCCCCACCCGGGTGCTGCCAGCAGCTAAGTGGCTGCTATGGAGGCACCCATGCATGCTTGTTCCTGCAGTGGCTGTGTGAGTCTATAGATGCACACAGCCCTGTGACAGGCCACACGCCTGTGTGCGTCCATAGATGCACACAGCCCTGTGACAGGCCACACCCCTCCTCACCTCCCTACAGGGTGATTGATGGCAGAAGGCGCCTACATCTCCTCTGCCCTCAGCATCCTCTTGATCTTCTTTACCTTAAAGCAGAGAATGCATCAAGGTAAAAAACGATCAGCCTTTAATACTACTTAAATATCACTTTACGGTATAAAAACATCTACATTGATTCAAAAGGCTTTTGATCTGTGTAGATGTAGGTTAAAAAAAAACTAAAAATTGTAGTGACATTTTTGCTGAAGAAAAACACTTTCCATGAACTACCCTTCCATCAAATCATACTTGTTCAGAGGACTACTGGATGTGACACAAAAATTATGTCTCAGAGCACTATATTACGATCTAAGTGATTTCTTGATAAATAGGAAAACTGGCATATGTCTAACCATTCCACCTGTAAATAAGCAAACTCACTGAAGAATCATCTACTAAATTCTTTGGCTTGAGACTGTAGTTAGTAGTGATGCACCGATACAGTTTTTTCGGTATCGAGTCAGAGTACCGATATTTATATGCGGATACAGAGTACCGATACCGCCAAGCCAGGCGGCATGTCATTACCAGACGCCCAGCTTCTTGATTGCCTGGGAAGCCAGCTCCTTGCTGTTTAGCCGTCTCCATGCTGATTGGCCAGCTACACCCGATCAGCATGGAGCCGGTTTCAGGAAGCCAAACGGCTAGTCATTATCTGCCGCCCGGCTTCCTGATGAGCTGGGAAGCCAGCTACATGTTCCTTTGCGGCATGTCTGGTCAGGGGAAATCGCCTTCTGACTGGAAGTTCTGGTATCGGGGGGTAAGTATCGTAGCATTTGGGCGAGTACGAGTACTCACCCAAATACTCGGGATCGGCACTGATACTAGTATCGTTATCGCTGCACCCCTAGTAGTTAGCTGTGTGTCCTCCTTCAAGCGGATGTCTTTCATAGGTAACATTTCCTATCAAATTAGTTGCTAATGACAGTTTAGATGAAATCAATTAAATCTATTCTTAAAATGCTTTTTCAAGCACGGTTTCTTTATTCAAGATTCAATGCATTGAAATTGCAGTCTTTTTCCTGCCTGTCTTTCTGGGGAAGATTTCCCTTTACTTCTTGTTCCAAAGACATAGCAGAATATCTCTCTAAAGTGAGCGGGTATTCCCTATTGGATATTTGTCGCCCGAACGGGTACACGCTTAGGGAGATCTCCTCTCCCTTTGTACCTGTGACAACTCAAAAATGTTGGGTTTTCCATTACTTTCTCTATTTCTACTGGGAACAATGGTCACAAGAAGAAATAGAGAGGGTGAATCTCTTCTGCAAGAACACATACAACAATAAAAGCTTGACAGAGGTTCTAAACCTTCCACATCATATGTTTAAAAAAAATGCTGATTAAAATCACTTACAATGGATGTAGCTCCCTGATTTTTAAAAGTAAAAAAACTAAGAATATGATTACTAAAATAATGATGCTATCCACACTTGCAACACAACCATTTCTCATTTATTGTTATAAATTCATATTGAAATGAACATTTTAAGACCAGAGTAAGGCTGAATGTCCCTTCCTTGTGACAAGGATAGCTGACGCAATCATTACACCATGCTCAAAAAGAACTTCCAAAAAATCTAATTTCTTGCACAGAAAGAAATTGGTTAACTGATTTTCACAGCAGTGTGCTTCGTGTCAGGAGTCATTGTAAAGGTATACTCGGACACTAGCCTTTTTAAATTCTGGCTAAAAACATTTTAAGAGCCTTCAAGGTTAAAAGGACCCGGGTCAGGGTTCCATTTTTCATTTAAACGCCTCAGATAACTCAGGCGGTGACAAAGATGGCAGACCCTCCTACTTCTCCAGTCAGTTTAAGAACGGACATGGTAGTAAAGCACACAATGATTCTTAAGACCAGAAAAAAGAACTTGCATTAAAGTTTGCTAAAACCGCAATGTGTACATTTCACAGGGAACAGATTTGTATACTTTCTATAATATGTCCTCAGTGAACAGGAAAAGCAGTGAACCGCCTACAACTACAGTTGCATTGATATCTAGATCTACTAATCATTGTTTTTTACTTTTCTGTTGGGACTCTGGGGAAATATCAGGGATCTAAACAGACCCCTGATAGTTCCCTTTTAAAACAGTAAGAGAGTGTGAGGACACAGAGTCCTCAGTCTCTTTTTCTGCAGCCCCTGTTATAATGAACAGGGATCCTCTATACTCCTGTCCATTCATAAATTGAGGCTATAGCATGAGTTGCCATGTTCACAATCATGAATGAACAGGAAGTGATGTAGAGCACTTCCTGTTCATTCATAATTGGGGACACACTAAATATACATCCTGACTCGCTGTCACAGGAGGCTGAGCAGGCAGTGCGGGGGGGAGAGCTCAGCCACTTGTGACACAGGTGACCGCTGATTCCATCCCCGCACTGCCGGCTTGGCCTAATCCATCCATCCGCTTTCCATCCTGATCGGTCATGGCTCCTGTGACACGCTCAACGCTTTCCTCCCCACCCAGCCTCCTGAAAGTTTATCTTCTCTCCATTGGACGCAGCTCTGTGTCATAGGTGACACAGAGCAACGTTCAGTGGGGAGGAGAGAAACTAGGGATGCACGGCAATTTCGGACGAAAAATTGTACTTTCGGCATTTTGCCCAAAGTGCTATTTTTGGCTGATATGTTTCGGCGCCTTAAATTTCTTTGCATCCCCACCAGAAACAGATACCAATACTTTAGGACCCACCAAGAACCATGAAATGTGGTATTAGTATCGTAGAAGCAGTTTCATACCAAACATTTTTTTTCTACTAAATATAGATACAAAATAACCTTTCGAGTCCTGATCCTGTATTTTTATTCAGGATCAGCACTACAGAAAAGAGTAGAACACTACATTAAGCATTTATTTGTCTTTTCGTTCAGAACGAAAACTTAAACTTAGGGAGTGCCATTGGTCACACAATCATTGCAAGAAAAAGCCTGTATGATAAAAAAAAAAAAAAACCATTGAGAAGCAATTCCATATGGTATACAGTATGTAACTAGTAGTTAGGTCACATGGAATTCCTTCACCAAAGATCTATATTGAACCAAGCCCCAGGAGGAACAAAAGTAGGATGATAGTGTTCAGGGAAGCTCAGCAGTTTATCTAGACCAAAATGCCTTGGATACCCATCCGTCATAGCCTTCACCTTATGGTTTAGCACAATCTCTCCGTAGAAGACAGTGTGCGAAAATCAGATTTGACAGATTTGATATGAAAATCCAGGTGAAAAAATAAACAGAATGTTAATACCAACTGAAAGACATCTGAAGGCAGATGTAGAAACTCTGGTAATCAGACAACAGAGTACATGTCTAGGATATCAGCTATAGATATACCTACAAAAGTATCTCTGCAGTAATGTGCTCCCATCAGAGTCTAAAGCTATTCAAGGATAAAGACAAACAAACAAATATAAAAACACAAAAGGAATACATACAACATGCGTTGCTTTAATTTGTTTTTTGGTCTGCCAATGGGTTTTGCGTATCGCCTCTTGATTTGTGCAGCTTTCTCTTGAATGATTTTACGACCATTTTTCTTTGGCCGGCAGACGTGACAAATCCACATACCTAAAAAGAGACATCATTATATGGCTGCAATTGTGTTGCAACAATTGAAATGCATTTTAAATCAGTTTATGGATATTTATGACTTTATTGCTTGCCATTAAAAAAAAAACACACAGCTCTTTTTTTTACAAAAACATACACTTATTCAACAACAGTATGGAACCTTAATCAAAGAGGACCTTCCCAAGAGCAAATATGCTTTGAATCAAATTTATAGAACACTTAGAAGGAAAATGTACCTTTTGGCATGCGGGCCAGAGGTGGGTCACAGCATTCCATGTGAAATCCCCTATCACAAGAGTCGCAAAAAAGCATATTATCCTGCAAATGAGTAAGTGAAAGGTTGGTCACCAGCATCTTAACCCAATATATCTTAAGTAATTCACCGAGCAAATTAATGTGAACAGCATTAGAGAACTCACTGCATTTTTGCCTTGAATCCTACAGGCACTGCAAGTTTTGCATTCAATGCACTGCCACCTCAGTGCTTTTACGTTAGAGGTGAGCTCTGGACAGAATTTTAAACATGATGGATGACCTAGAGAGTAAGAAAGTACAAAGAGTAATGTTATAGAGTGCGCCCAAGAAAAAACAGAAAGCAAAAACAGATCATAAAAGCATACCTGCACGGCAACACACTAAGTGATAATCACCATTGGTGAGCTATGAGGAAGTCAAAATACTCAATGTCACAAAGGGTCAGGGCCAATTTGTGTGTGTGGAGAGAACAGTGGGAGTGTTACCTAAATCCACAAGGGACAGAGGGGCATTGAAGATGCTGCAGCCTGAACCCTAATCTTAAAAAAGTCTGGCAGGAGTTTCTGGAGTTCCACCAGAAAAAAAATAATGTTCAGTATTGAAAATCAGGAAATTAGGATGGAAAAAGCATATCATGGCACTCTTTGATTTATTACACAGCTGGACTTTGTTGTAACTCAGAAGCCAATTAGTAAAAAGTAGGAATCAACAGGTACTTCTAAAGAATCATCCACTTCCATTGAAATAAAACAGTGGCTCAAGTGCAGTTGCTTAGGAACTTTGGCCATCGTTGATTTAATCAACTCTGATATTCCCTATTCAAATCTGTTTTAGAATAAGAGTTATATACTTTACAAATCAATCAATCATAATAATTAATTGCTTTTCAGCTGCCTTTTGATATAGTGGAGACAATGGTCTTAAAGAAAATATCTAAGGCTGGGCCACACACCTTACAATTAATCGCAAGACTTTTGTCTTGCGATGGTTGTAAGGTAATTTAAAAAAAACGTACGATCTGCATATCTTGGACAGGCAGATCGTACTTGCGATGATCGCAAGCACGCCCCACTGAGGGGCGGGCTTCCGATGACCGCAATGCTGAACGGGCAGTGTGCACTTGCGCACACCGGCCCGTCCTGCTTTTATCTTACGAACATGCTACACACTCGCCGAAAATTCTCGGTGGGTTTTCGAACATGTTCCTAAGATAAAAGTTGTGCGACCTTACAGTAGCAGAGGTCGCATGGCTCCCACACACCTTACGCTAATCGCAAGGTGTGTGGGCACCTTAAGAATGCCCTGGAGAATTGCTTTGTGTGGGTTTAAGTTATTAGTGCCACAATACAGCAGATGACTGCAGTCTCAGGTTTTGTGAACTGCATCAAGTTCCATTAAAAAAACTCTCAAATATGGGAGAAGTTTCAGATCTTTATGATGAAGAGGTGAGCTGTATGACATTTAGTCAATGGAAACAATAGATGGTGGACTGTTTGGTTGTAAGCAATCAAACCAACTACTAGAAACATCAGCTGTATGGTTGGAATGTGTCCCTATATAGTCTGCAGTAACTGCTCTTTAATTTGGTATAAGCTGAACGAAAACATTACCGCAAACTGATCTACTACATGTTTATTTGGATCTACAGTATGTTTCTTCTGACAGTGTAAATCAAAGACTTATCAGATTATATGGTAGAGGGAATAGCAAATATTATCCAATTTAACACGGAACTTCATTTCTTACAAGACTACGAGAAAGTGACTAGTGTAAAATGAGTGGCCTCGGATGAGCAACAGCAAATGTTTGCGTAATGTTAGCTATAGCCCTAGGGAATAAAACTACATGAAAATGATTGCACTATGAGGAACGTATAACATTCTTACTCAATAACAGCCCAGGGAATTGCAGGATCTTAATTCAGCAAAATACAGATACTAGATTTAACCGTTCTATCTTGGGTCAGGCCTGTTAGGCACCCCCTGTGAAGTGAGCAGTCAGACAGAAGAGATTAGTGCACTGCTCCCACACGATTAGAGGGAAGAACAGTGACTTAATTCTGAAGCGGCTTCTAAACACAGCACATTACGTGGGACATCGGAGGAGCTAATTAAGGATAATTTGATCTTAATGAGGCAGAGCGAGGATCAGCTGCTAATGCTGAAGAAAGCTGATCCATGAAAGTCGTGTGGAGTTCTCTCTCCGCTGTGAGCACAAGAAGAATAAAAGGTTTGGTTTTCTACCCCATGACTTAACTACTGAAATGCTAGAACAGCTTACTTCTACAGAATCCATAAACATGTGTCTAGCTTGGGATTTCAATGACTTGATATCATTTAACTTAATGAACTGATGTTTAGCAAGTCTTTAGCTTAATTAATTCGGCACAGGTTAAATCAATCAGTAAGCGAGTGAAACATAATAGATCAAATGTCTCACTCATTAAATGGTTGTGACGACTTCTGAAATCAAACATACCCTTACATTTTCAGATCAGTTTAATCTGTTTTATACTGAACATGCTTTCATCTACAGATACAACATCTAGGGCTAAGCAAGAGGGAGAATATGTACTGCAGCAAAGAGCACAAGTTGCTTCACAGAGGCAACAATGTTATACACTGCTTGGCTTTGGTTGATATTTAAAAATGAAGGAAACGCTCTTATCTGGTATTCAACCAGAAAAAAAAAAATCCCGTGTACTTACGGTTCTGCTGATCTGTGGTATGTATTATCCTGGAAATGATTGTGTGCCTATTTGTTTTCATTTGTTCAAGGTGTATCTGCTTTTGATTACTGCATTTCAATATTAATATGAAATCAATACAGAGTTTATGTTATGGAATGGTATAGTATAGTGTGGGGTACGGCATTAGTTAGACTTATTTTTAATAGTAACTCTCAAGTAACCAGAAACTACACTTATCTGGAATCTACCAAACTATCTGATGACCATTTGAATGAACTATTTTTTCATTTAGACATATAGCTAAAAACCTTTTAATGATAGATGTTCTTTAAACTAACTTCACAGGCAGTGCACTGGTTTGTCCTCTAAAATTTTCCGGCACTGTGCAGAGAAAGGTGTCCTTTTTCTACTGTACGGTCGCACGACTTTTGTCTTACGAACATGTTCGAAAACCAGCCGAGAATCGTAGGATTTTCGGCTGGTTTGTGGCATGATCGTAAGATAATTGCCACACGGGCCGGTGTGCGCAAACGCACACTGCCCGATCAGCATTGTGGTCATCGCAAGCCCGCCCCTCAGCAGGGCAGGCTTGCGATGATCGCAAGTACGATCTGCCTTTCCAAGATGGGCAGATCGTACGTCTTTTTATTTACCTTACAACCATCGCAAGACAAAAGGTCTTGCGATTTTGTCTTGCGATGGTTGTAAGGTCTGTGGCCAGCTTTACCCCCACCTCCGGCCAGGTCCGGAGAAACAGACGGATCAGAGTTGTGTTTCACAGGGATAGATCACATGTCCATTTACAACAGATTCCCTATAGATCGACATTAGCCCATGTGAAAGGGCCTTAGCTTGTAGTAAATAGCCTGTGTATGGAGAGAGGGCAAAAACATTTAAGGAATTGATATGTCGCGGCATACAGTTACTGTGCAAACGCTGCTACTGTTTGTCATATGAGATCTGTATCAAAGATAGGAGTGTGGACTACTGGGCTACATCATTTTAGACACTACTTAAAGTGTTCCATGAGTGTACCTCTTAGCATTTGAATATACTTAAATTATAAAGTGTACCTATTAAACAGTAAAAAAACATTGAAAACATCAGACGTGATTTAAAGGCAGACGTTTTTACGTAAAAGCCAACATACCACTGCTCCCACAGTCAGCACAGGAGATCAACTCCTCAGGCTTCTTTTCACGGTTGGATTCCTTTGTCCCAAGACAGAAACTACAGATGGGTATAGGATCTGCTCTGGGCTGTTTGGAAAAAAAAAAGTGGAAAAATAAAAAGGTAATTAGTAGTTTTAAGTAAAGGTAAGAAATGTAGGGCCTGTAACAACAGACATTTGAAAGTGTGAGAACTGCTTCTCTCCACATCCAAGTCAATGGGAATATATAAGCAGCTCAAACCAGTTTGATGCAGCTTAGAATGAAGACAATTGGCCCTGTCAAACAATGTATGTCTCCTTCCTCTCTGCTATAGTTTGTCGCTCAAATTTGGAATGTTCTACTATAAACAGCTTCTGGTAGATTCGTGCCACATATTATTTATTTCTGAAAGGCTCTCCAGTTAGCCATTGGCGCAGGTTTTCCCATTTTATTACACTAGTGTTCTCTCTATGATGGTCCTGCAGCTGGCAGTGGCTACCCATTTGTGTTCTATTTGATACAGGTCTCCACTTTTCAGGTCAAGACAGTTTTGTGGGGATTCCTTGCAGAGCCCGGTCAGCTGCTGTGCCTCTGTATTCCCCATGCCTCCATTGCTCCCCTTTGCGCCTGCTGCGGCACCAACGCTCCCCCATATCCCCGCAGCGGTTGCACTGCTCAGTGTGAAGGCCTGGTTCACACTGAGCATTTTGTAGAGCTTTTTCTGCCCTACAAAAAATTTCAGAAAATATGCACACAAAAAAAATAAATCCCATTAATTTCTATGGCCTTGTTCACATCTGAGCATTTTGTCGCAATAAGCAAAACGTTTGTCACTGAAAAAGTACATGAACTTTTTTTTGTCATATTACAGCTCTTTCTGGCCCCATAGACTCAATAGGAAACGCTTGAACACACACGTTTGCTGTGTTTTTGTGCAGGTTGGCTCATGTTTGCATTTCAAACATGTGCGACCGAAATTATGCACATAAAACGCATGTGAAAACGTGCAAAAAAAGTGCATCAAAACCACACGTAGAAATGTGTGAACCCAGCCTAAGCACATTGACAAAATGCTCGACCCCAGAAATCCCATTCAGTTCTATGGCCCCTGTTCACACCTGGGTATTTTGGCGCAAGCAGAAATATGCGCGTCACACAAAATACTACACGAGTTGATTTGGGGCAGATTCAGCATGTCCCCCCCCCCCCCCATTGACTCAATAGAAACGCTTTGAAAACGCATGTTGTGATTATTTTTGAGCAGAATCAGCGCGTTTTGCCCATGCATAGGAATATGCCATAATCACAAAATCGCACACAAAAAAATAAGCATAATAGGTGTCGCTTAGGTGCAAATGCAGCCTTGGGGTGGGTTCACAACTAGTCAACAGCGTTTATGCGTTTTATGAGCATAAATCAAAATTGCACATTTGCTGTGGTCACAGGTCTCCCAAAATAGTGGGGGACCCCGAAAACCATGTAGGGCAGGCTGCTACAAGTGATCAGGGCGGTTGGATGGATTGGATCAAACAACACCTTTTTCTAGATACAAATAAGGCAAGATCCATTGTAGATTCAGCTTAAAACTGAGAATTGAAACCCTTTGACAAAGAAACTGAAGTGGTGGAGTCTCCGAGGTGGGGTAAGAAATCATAATTGAATGTGCAATTGTTAAGTGGAATACACAATATAAATTTTCTGTTTTGGTGGTATTTGTTTGCTTCCTTCCCATCCGCACCCCAGACTTCTGGGTATCCGTGAAAGCTATATGAGGAAGGAAACAATGAATTAAATCTTCATATTTTTTTTATTATTAATATAAACATGAGGCCCATACAACAAGAAACTGTTTGGTGTTTTTTTAATTAAAAGTGTTTAATTCCTCTTTTTCTAGTGGCTCCCTGCAGCGCTCTCCCCCGGCTCGTGCCCACAAGTGGCTGTGTGCGTCCATAGGGACAAACACCCAATGGTTTGATTGACGGCAGAAAGAGCCTATGGCTCCTCTGCCCTCAATCTCCTCCCCCGCAACCAGGAAGTTTAGACGGAGGATCGTTTCGGAGACGCTGACAGTTAAGTGTGGGGGGACAGGGGACTCAAAAGGTACTGGACGTTTTTATACATTAAGGGCTTGTTCACACCAAGCGCGGAGCAGATCCAGACCAGAGCAGATCCAGACCGGATCAAAACTGCGTCCAATGTATTCCTATGGTATTTTGACCTCCAGTTCACATCGCAGCGTGCGGATCCAGACCAGATCCAGACCGGATGAAAAAACTGCGGCAAGCCCTATTTTACCTGCTCTGGATCTGGTCTGGAACGCATCAAAAACGCATCTAAAACGCATCAAAAACGCAACGCAATGCAACCCAATGCAATTCAATGGGAAAAAATAACCATAAAGAAAAAAAACCTCTATGGTCATCTGTCATGACCTAATCTTCCTTTGTCACTTCCTGTCTTTGGAAGGGACACATCACATGCAAACATTCCTACCTAGATATCGACATGCGGGTGTATGAAAAAAAAACTTGTCTGGGTGTGCACGAAGGTCTGCATATAGAGTCCCAAACTGGCCCTTAGGATCTCTTTCTCTCATCAGTGGGTGCACCCAAAAGCGACGTCTCCTTACAGCACTTTGGCGTAGCAGTATAATAACCATCACCAGGAGCATGCCTGCATCCCATGGATCCATGTTGCAACAATTTTACATGTGAAACAAGGTCAGAGGAAGCAGGAAATAATCGGAACAGCTAATGAAAGGTCAAAGGTACAAGGAAATGACTAAATAACCTTGTTAGCTTCCTGGAAAAAACGCGTCAAAAACGCATCGTGCGTGTGCAGAAACCTGACCGGATCTGGTCTGCATTTGGTGTGAACAAGCCCTTATACAGAGAATGTATTAAGGTTAAAACGCCCAGCCTTTAGTAATCCTTTAAATTATGATTTTTAAATATGTTTATTATTGCAAAACGATTCATTTTAGAATAACTCCTAAAGAAGTGAAACTTGGCCAAACGCGTCGAGAACATACATCTCATTCAATCCCTAAGGAAAAAAGGTAGAGTAAAATATTCTGGGAGAGACTTACGTAAAGATAATGTTTACAGAATATATGAGAGATTATGAGAAGATGTGGCTATATATGATGGGAGATGTTAATGATATGCATATCAAAGTAACAAATCTGCGTATCAAAGTGTGGTAATTGGATAGTTTTACAGATGTAAATAAAAGTTATGCATTTTTGTAATCACAAATGATTGTACAGGTCAGTTACCGGGGTACCTCAAAAGTCTTATTCTAATGTTTTTAATTTCTTGTAAATTTTGATATTTGGATGTGCTACCCAAAAATGTTTAATACCGCTATTTCAAAATAAGACAATATGTATCTAGCTGTACAGTAACTCCAACCATCTTTAAAAGCATTGGAGACTGTTTGAATATTTGTGAAATATTCACTGCTGTCTGTGTACCCAGTATGGGAGACACCCTGTACCTCCTTCCTCCCTACAATATGACACAAAGAGCCAACCATAGTAGTTTGTGGTGTTGGCTGTGTGGGACTGCAAGAGGACGATACCTAAAACAACTTCAATTACATGGGACTGCAAGAGGATGATACCAAGACAACTTCAATTACATGGGACTGCAAGAGGAGGATACCAAGACAACTTCAATGACATGGGGCTGCAAGAGGAGGATACCAAGACAACTTCAATGACATGGGGCTGCAAGAGGATAATACCAAAACAACTTCAGGTACTTAAAATATTTGCATTTAAAAATAAATTTTATTTTTACCTTTAAACATAACTGCAGTACAATATACATCTGTCAAATCACACCAACAATTCTTTATTTTAGTATAAGTCTGGTTCAAAGGGGCACCTAACTACCCACCATTCCCATACTTGCCTATTCAGTGTGCATCTTGCCTGCCATATATTTATGAATTACAATTTTTCTTTTGCTTCATGTAAGGTGGTGTGTGCAGCTTGTGCACAGTGTGCATACTGTATGAATGTTCAGTGTCTGGCTGATGTATTATTTCAGTCTGTTAAACTCATCGCCAGTGTTCAGTGGAGTCACCTGCTTATTCTTTACTTACCAGCCATACGTCAGTGAGCAAAAGTTAATGTTCATTGGAGACTGAAATCTATAGTCTGCCTCTTTCCTGTGTGCCAGTGAACTCAATGCTGAGCCAGGTGACCCATCTGGCACAGTTTTTGCATACATTTGTTTAACCCCTTCACGACGGGATAATCCCCTTATGAATCCTCAAGGGTTTAAAACAGACCGCTGGGACTCTGTACAGATTTGTAGAGCCGGCATTATAGTTGAAGCAATTGTGGCGGCTCCCCCCCCCCCGGCCCGACACCCCCACGTGTTGCCCGGGCTCTGCTGCCCCTCCTACAGGCCCGGCATCTACGGGGCCCGTGGGAAGGAGAGTGGTGAACTTTGTTCACCGCTCTCCTCCCCATTCCATGGGACCGGGAGCAACACATATTGCATCACTTCCAGTCCCTGAGCCAGGAATAAGCTATTGAAGTGCGATCTGCACTTCAACAGCTTATTTAGAGTGTAGAGGTGATACTTGGGGTCTTTTGGACCTCCAGTATCACCTTAAAGAGGACCTGTAACCACCAATATGATATTGAGGTGGGGCTTGTAAGCCCCCCTATGTGGTAGGAATTCAAGTTAAAAATAAAAAAAGCAGTTTTCAAAATATTAAATAAAAATGTAGAAATGTAGTTCCCCGCGCGCCGTCACGCAACTACACGTCAGGTGCACCTACGTACATATGTTGGGTATCGCCGCACACGCCAGAGTAAGAGCAACAAATCAAGCGCCAATAGTTACGCGCAGCTCTAAACTGATGACCTGTGGGGGCTTTTAAAGCATTGTGTATGGACTTTTTGGGGTACTGAATTCTGTCGCAGTTTTACGGACATACAATTTTTAACCTGGACATGTTAGGTATTTACTCGTTGTAACCTCATATTTTATATTTTACAAAGAAAAATATTTTTTATAGTGATTTGGGGCACTAAATTTAATGTTTGGGGTTTAAAGTTACTTTCAGGCTTACAATCTGGATTATAACACGTTAACAATCAATGAAGAAAAAAAAAAAAGAAGGCCTTTGTCCCTAAGGGGTTAATGGAAGAGTAGAGCCCATCTTTGCATCCACGTGCAAAATGTTAAGGGCGATTTATTATTTCTTCAATCATATTGCACCAACATATTACACAGTGTCTCTGTCTCCCAATCTAATGCCACTACCATATCCATACACACCCAGGGCAAATCGGTATGAAGCCACTTAGCCAACTGGTATGTTTTAGGATTGTGGGAGAACATACAAATCCATTCAAAAAGCATCCTTCGATTTGAACCCAGAAACAAAGCTTCAAAGGAAGAATGCTAACCAGTTAGCCACCATGCTGTCCAGTACAACCCAGATGCTTTAGGAGAGCTATCTTCATCAAATAGATAGCCAATGGAGGGACAAAAAGGAGTAACTGGCAATAAGCAACATCTTAGAGAAGAGCAATGCAAAACAGTCCAGACGGCAATATTCCACCATGCAGGTAATATGTTACAATTAGGGATGCACCAATACCAATTCTTCGGTATCTAGTACCGATATTTAAAAAGTGTTTTTAACAGTACTCACCGATATCGCCGTGCCGATGTAGCAGGG